CGTACTCCCAGCCGCCTGTCTATCGTTTAAGACTCCTGGCGATATGCGTCGTGTCTATAAAGGGCCTCGCCGCACTGCTCACCACCTGTGAAAAGACAAAAAGCTACGGCGAATGTATCTGTTCACATTCTCTATTATTGTTCCCTCTTTCTAAAAGGGACGCCAACCTTGAGATATCACCGTGGAACTGACCGGCCGGAGGTAATTCAAAAGTTCAATTCATTCGGTTCCATCTGGATTTGAAGTTAGGTCTGCATTTCACAGTTGATGATGGGTGTACCAACTGAGCTATAAGCTATTTGGTTATATCTTATCTTTTGACGTTCCAGCAGAAGTGCGTCGAGTCTTGGAATATAATTCCACCATGACCTTTTTCGGGACTTCACGTGGGCTCAACTACGGTCCGATACATCCATCAAGCCCTAGAGCGTGTGTTCGTATATGTCTGCCAGACGCCAACGTTCGGAATGTTACAAAATCACTTTCCACGAAACAGACTTCACAAACGATCGTTTTTTTTTTTTTCTAACACGTTTTTCCCATCACCACGTGCTCCACGTACCGGCGACGTCGTTTTTTTTTTCTTTGTTTTTTTTTTTCCATCAGCGAGATCTCCACGTGGCGTCCAGCTTTCCACTCTAGGTAGGTCGGAATTTGTAGCCGGATTCTTACGTTCAACGTTTCCTGTTTTGTTGTTTTGTTTTTCTAAGCCCGCAAACAGACACACATACGACTTTTAGTACCAATCAGATCTGATTCACCCAATTGATAGGGCACTAGACGCAGCAATTCTGCAGAAAGAAAGAGGCATCCGCAAATTCGATATAATACGTAGTTATGTCAAACAAAAAAAAAAGCAGTGGGGGAAGAAAGAGCGAGAGAGAGCAACGAAGAGAGAGACGGAGAAAACAAGGAAACAGAGAGAGAGAGAGAGGGCGGTAGGATTACTTTATATATATATCGTCACATAATACCAACATATCGCCAAACAGAACTGCCGGGTTAACCGTAGGCAGAGAAGGAGAATATGACAACAAACGAAGGGCTGTGACAAAAACTGTTTCGTCGGAGTTTCACCGACTCATCAGGATATATATATAGAGAGAGAGAGAGAGAGAGATACATACAGAAACACAAAATAGAATCACTTCACAGAGAGAGAGAGAGAGAGAGAGAGAGAGAGTGCCAAAGAGTGTTAAACTACATTACATCGAATAACTGCGTGAGGATTTCAGAACTCACGCCGTGTGAACTCGGCAATTGACACAGAGAGAGAGAGAGAGAGAGAGAGAGAGAGAGAGACTAGAAGACAGCGAGCGTAATTGTTTAGCAGATTGACAGAAGGAGAGCGAGAGAGAGCCACAGAGACAGAGAGAGAGAGAGCGAGAGAGAGAGTAGAAGCTAAAAGACCCACGGCCGACATGCTTTGAAACAAAATTGAGAAATTTGACAGTGGTAAGAGCAGTGAAATTATCCATGCGCGTACTTCACCTTATTTCCGTGTGTACAAAGAGCACGTGAAAACAAAAGAGGCACGCACGCATATTCACTGCTTTCTCAAAGCGCAACTATAAATTTGTCGCAGATCGGGTTCGCGAATTGTACAGACCGCTGATGATGCGTATCAATTTCGGTTGCACAATGCTACATCCTCCGCTCCTCTCCGATTTCATTCAATCCCTAAGGTCTTCGTGAAGGCAGAGATTGACATATAACCTCTGCTACACTTCACGAATCACTATGGGTATGAGCGAATCGTCATAGAACCGCCGAAGTAGAATACTGCTTGCGACAAAAACGCGGAAAATAAACTATCATCGTCACGACAAGCCATGTATTTATTTCCCTCCAGGTCACAGAACGCCGACGAAAACTGCCAGAGAACATCGCGGTCAGAGAAACACAAAAAGAGAGCGAGAGCGAGCGGGATAGAGAAAGACTGATATAAATATATTATAGCAATATGATGAATTTGTATCGAAGCCTCGGTGAGAAAAAGAGGCGACACAACCACAGAAAGAGAGAGAGAGAGAGAGAGAGAGAGAGAGAGAGAGAGAGAGAGAGAGAGAGAGAGAGAGAGAGAGAGAGAGAGAAAGAGAGAGACGGAAGACGGCAGCGATAATGTAGACGACTCTCTACGACGAAAGAACACTGCAGCAAGCACCAAATCGCAGTGAATATACGTTAAACTCACTGTTCCAGTCAGTCTAAAATGGAGTAACTGCCTGCCCATACCCGTAGCATAGCGACCATTTGACAGACTGAAATGCTCATACTAGAACTGAGGTCGAAGGCGCCGAAATTTCAATCACTCGAAAACTATGGCCACACGCACTATTACTAGAACTGAGCTAGAATGACTAGAATAAAGCAATGCGCACAGTATAATACCTTCCCCTGTGATTGATTGCGCTACCCGTGTTGGGCCGCAAGTAAAGCTATTACCCGGCTGGTTGTGAATGCCTCCCCGGTCTGATCAAACCACTTCACAACGACCCATCCAATACGTTCAAACTGCAGATTGGTGGGTTTACCAGATCGCCCGAAGAGGATCGTCAATATATTCACTAAAGATTGCAAAAGGACACGGATGATCGACAGGACCACAGCGCGAGAAAGACGCCGATAAAATTGACAAATCTATTTTTTGGAACGAATTGATGAAAAAGACGGAAGAATGAACGTGACGAGACAAAGAGAGAGATGGAGAGATGGAGAGATGAAGAGATGCACAGCCGTACAGACAAGGAGGGAGAAGAGGTGATGGATGGGTTATGATAGCGAGCTTACATTGTAATGCGTCCCGCAGAACCTGCGCATCATCTTCAACATTAAATCCGTGCACTCCCACGATCGTCGCCATAGCTGATGCGCCGCCGCTGTGCTGTGGCTCCGAATACCGCCTTCGTGTGACGGAGAGGACCGCTCTCGTTTTACCACGGATTGAATCGGGCTCAAACACAATCACCGTATTTGATGACAGTAGCTACATATACTGGGGCGATGAAAACAAAACAATCACGCACAACGCCAGTTGACCGCCGCTAGTGAAAGAAAGACCGGCCTTCTGCAGAATCTAGCCAAACAGCAAGCGCCAAAATTTGGGCCGAAACTAGGTTCCCGCGTTGGACCGTGGTGGTGCTGGTAAAATACGCCTTCGTCTGGCAGAACCTGATGAGAGAAATGGTCTTGCCAGATGGGCCCCGCTGGAGGACCAAGAGCACTTTTTTTTTGAAGTCCAGGGTGTTGTAGAGGTCGGCTTCTGGACCCACGACAGGTGCCTATCTTCAATCAGCAAATAATTTAATAATTTATGGGACGCAGACCATCCTATCGTGGTAACTCGGCGGGCCCTGGTAATGGATAGACTAGGAATCAGGGGAGGCTTGACAAAGTGTACAGCAAGTACGCTGAACATACGGAACGTGAAGCAAAGATGAAGGAGGAGGAGGCAAAAGAGAAGGCGAGAAAAGAGGAGGAGGAGAAAGTGGTATCTTGGAAAAAAGAGCGGGAGCAGTTTGAGGAAGCAATGGCGGAGAGATTGGAGAAGTGATTAGACACACTGGGGATCAAGAAGGGGAAATCTGTGGAGACAGCTAGCGGAGATACGGTGAACGAGGAGACGCTTCGGCTTCGAAAGGAGAACGAAGACCTGAAACGTAAGTTAAGCGAGACGATATGCCCCGGTGGGGAGGACAGAGTTATGTATTTGCAGAATGAGATAATGGAGCTGCGAAGAAGAGTTGGCGAGAAACATGTGAATGATGACGAGATGACGGCTTTAAAGGCAGAGATCGGGGAACTGAAACAATCAGAGTATATGAAGACAAATTTTGAACAAGAGATTTCGGGACTACGCAAGGAAGTATGTATGCTTCGCGACCAGAACGAACGCATGATGTCAGAAGCGGGGCAATGGAAGGAGCAAGCGTTACGCCCGGGTAACAAGTGGGGCAGCGTTGTGTTGCAGACACCTACTTGTCCTGATCGAAGTTCGCCTAAACCAAGATGGACGGACAACGTGAGGGAAGAAGATAAATGGAAGGTGGAGTATCGTAATCTCCAAAGCTTGCATCGATTGGCTAATATCGAGGCTGAGGCGCTAAAACAAAAACGTGCTGAGGCGGAAGCTTGCAGGGTAAAAGTTGAAGAACAGGTGAAGTCTCTGGAGGAGAAGATGAGTCAGTTGATGGCGAGCGGGGAGAAAGGCAAAGAGAAGAGTATTGGAGGAACAAACCTCAAAGATCGTCTTGAGGATGCGGCTGTTCGATCTGCTCGGAAAGGATGGAAAGTTACCCCTGGGGGAACAGGGTGCAAGACGAGTACAACGTCCATGCGATCAGAGAAGGAACTAAACCAGCAACAGTCGGCTGCGACGGCTAACAATCGTGCAGAATTTGTTGAGGAACAGAAGCGGCAACTGCGCATGCTTCGAAAGGCGGGGTTGGAACCCCTATATAAGGAGGAAGGCGTAAAGTTGGGCAAGTTTGAGGATACTGTTTGTGACCTTGCCGAGGCCCACGCTAAGAAAGCTTTTGGTGAGCTGTCGGACCCTTCTTCTAGACAAGACAAGGAAGTTCAGGAATTTAGCGACGACGCCTCTAAAAATTCGGGCGATACCAAGGAGGAAGTGGAGAGATCCGTCGAACTATAGGAACCTTTCCCGGACGCGTCTTCATTATGGTTCTCGGCGGATGATGTCGAACTAAAAGGTGTGCTTACTTGTTGTCGTCTTGTCGCACGGTTTCACATTCCGACGCTACCTCATCTCTTTGCTTGGCTCCTGATTTGCCCTCTACTAGCTCTTCTTCCTCTTTCTTCATCCGAGATAATGAGTTTAATGCATTTTTCCGATTGGTAGTAATCGGATTGGTTCTCTGTGATCAGATTCCCTGGGGAACGAAATTTAAGGAATATTTATTGAAGCTGTTGATTGATGATTTCGATTTTGAGAACTCTCCTGGGCCTCTTGTATATGTTTTGATCTCACCTTGGTCGAAGCATTTCTACATTGGATCTACAAATAGGTCGCTCCCTACTCGATGGAAGGAATACGTTTACCGGGCATCTAATTCTAGGGTGATTGAGATAGGAAAAAGAAACCATCGCTTGTACTCTTGGTTACGACGATGTCAGGTTGGTCAATATGTTGCCATACCATTGTTTGCGTGTGAGGAGGGGGAAGTTCGGGACCTTGAGCAGTTTGCTATTCGAAGGTTCTGTCCGCATCTGAATTGTCGAGATTTGAAACGACGAGGGAAACGTCGCAGGCTTGGAAAGAAGGAAAGATTAAGGAAGAAAAGGAACGCAAGGGCTTCTTTGTCGGCTTTGACCTCTTTTCCTACCACTCACTTGGTCTTTCACCCAACGTTCGGACAAATCTCGTCTAAACTCATAACCATACTTAGTTTTTGCCTTGATCAGAAAATTTCTTCAGTCGGAATTGCATGTGCGGGTGGACAGGTATTTGCCAAAAATTGGAAATTAATTAACCGCCGCTTTAGGTCTTCTTTGGTTTGCTCTTCTGGGAACTACGAGTTGCTTAAGAAGGCCAAGTATATGTTCCGATTTGGGAAATTTTTGTCAATTGTGGCAATTGTTCCCTCTCACACGCGATCCGCAATCTTGAAGCCATCTCTAGCTGGATATCTTGCTAATCCCAGCCTTAGGAAGGATTTGTCAAAATTGGATTTTCCAGTGCTGGTGCATGCCTATTCTGCTGTGTGTAGCTTCTCCGAAAAGAGGTCGAGGTATCTTCTTCGTCTCATTCTGTCTGGGGTCATTAAGCGACGTTTTGGGATTAATATTCGTCGTAGATTGGTGGTGCGAATCACTTATGATGCTGGGTTGAGTAAGCCAGGTATTCGTTCATTATGTGCTAAACTAGTAATGAGTCTGGATATTGACAAAGGATGGAAGGGTATGATGGTTCGGCGGATGAGAGTAGTTTGGCTAAAGAATAAGTCTGTGGGCGATTTGATCTTTAACTTTCGTGAGGCCGCTCGCTCGATCCAGAATCTCTGCAACTGCGCTTACTTATCGGAAGAATTTCCTCGGGTGGATGGCCATGTCAGTTTCCGGCTGAATGATTGGACAGTCGCACCTACCTGGCTTCGAAATAATAAGAATGTGACCTTCCCTGACTGCGCTGACGTCATTGGTAGATTGCGGCATCAGATTTTATTTTCTTTTTCTACGCTCGACTTCCCTATTCCTCGTCTGAATCGGGGTTCTGTTGTTGAATGCTGCTTACCTCAAGGTGAGCAACGACAGGTGTGTTCTGAACTGAATTCCATCTCTTGGGTGAAAAAGATGGAGGGACTGGTACGAGTCCCTATTGACCACAATCCGGGGGACACGTATGTATGTTGTCCATCGCTGTATCAAAAGGGAATTGACACTTTGTTTCATCACAATTCGGGTTTTTGTTGTGTTGATTTGGAGGAGAAGGTGCTGCTGTAACAGGCGAGAGTGTCCTATGAGAAAATGGGCCTGCAAAGGTTGGGAAAATGAGACTTTAAGGGGGAGATTGGTAAATCTTATGCTATTTCGAAGCACAAGGATGTGTTTCGATGGCGTCCTATCTGTCCTTCCTTTAGTGAATGTGGAGTCAGGGGTTGCCGAAAGATTTCTCGCTCTGTAAATTGTATGATCTGGTCTTTGCCAAAACTTTCGCATTTCAATCTCAAAAGTTGTGATCTCTTAATTGATTCATTGAAGGTGGTGAACAAAGCAATTGGAGAAGGGGAGACGGTTCTTACTGCAACGTTTGATGTAAAGGAGACGTTCTGCAACTTGCCACACGCATCTATTCTGGTTGCTTTGGACTGGGTCATCGATTTTTTAGAAGGGAAGGAGGCAAAAAGCGTATTGCTGAGGAAACGGGGGAAAGAGGCAAAAATCTTGAAAGGTGAAAGGCAGGAGGGTTGGGATTCGGTTGGATTTGATCTCATTCGTAATTTTGTGAGGTTCGACCTTCTGCATACTTTCATTCGAGCAAATGGGGTTATTATGCAGCAAACGATTGGAATTCCCATGGGCAAACCATCGAGCCCAGCCATTGCTTGTCTCCTGTGCGCCTACTCAGAATTATCCTTTCTCAATTCCCTCGGGAAAGATGGAGCTCTGGTCCATGGAATTCGTCTAGTTGATGATGTGTCTATATTCATTAAGTACCGAATGGGTGATGATTTCTCATTGTGTAAGGCAGAGGATATTCTGGCAAGATTCGCTGGGTGTTACGATCCTAGGCTGACTTTGGAGTGTACTAGCAACTCTTCTACCTGGGATTTTCTTGGTTGTGTCTTAAGGAATGTTGGCGGGTCATTGGGAATTCAATGTGCGGCGTTGCACAAAAATCAGCGTACGGTTTTGGATTCAGGACTGAGATTTCAAAGCTTGCAGGATAACTTCTCATACGTGAGTAGGAAGCAAAAAATGGCAGTCGTTGGGTCGTTTCTTCATCGTGCTCGGAGGTTCACGAGCATGCCGACCGCAGAGGCGGTCTTTCTCTTGACTTTGAAAGTTGAGCTTAGGCTTCGGGATTTTCCTGACGATATTTTCGACAAGGCTCTGGGTAATTTTTCTCTGAAATCCGGAGGACTGTGGGATGGTTGGGTACAATGTTTAACAGGTTGGGATAAGTATCGAACGCGGACTGGGCCTGGAAGGCCTGTAAGGGAAGGGGGCACTTGATAGGTAGAGCTAATGTTTTGGACTTTTTGGGTCTATAGGGCCCTGTGGGAGAAAGGTATCTCGAATGAACAATTGGATCCGGTTGGCGACCGGTTTTTAACTTAGGGTGACTTGGACTCGATCTGTTATCTTGTTGTTAGGAACCAGGTCTCTATTCGGTACTGCCTTTGAACGGGTTTCGAACTATGAACCGGTAGGGCAGCAGTTGTTTATCGCTTTCACTTAGTCTCTGGCTGACTCTAGAGTTCTCGAGTGCTTGTCCGTCTGTTTAAATATCTTGGTGTACACATCGATTGGCACTCGACTGCGCGACGACCCCTGATGATTCCGGAACCGGCTCCGGATGAAACGCGTAGGGTCTTGTCGGAGTAGTTGACCTTGCTTGCTTCGTTATGGACATGACGTCTAATTTCGGGTTCAACTTTGTTGGCTGGCTTCAGTTGGATGATTTTCGAGCCACGCTTTGCATTCGGGAGATATCGATGTGTCAGCATTTTTCTCTCTCCTTCCTTTCCCTTTCTTCTTCTTCTTTCTCTTTCTCTCCTTTTCTATTTCTTGTCTTTGTCTACATGGATGTCTCATTTCTCTTTTAATCATTGTGTGTGTCATGCATGTCTGGGTTTAGGCCATGTGGCCGTTATGTCGTATTTGAATGCTAGGCTTGAGCCGGTATGGTTGGTCTTTCGAACATATGTGGCTTTTGGATGATTATGCGAATATTCACAACATCCTATCGTGGAGGTCCCCCTTAGACAGCCCCTACTGCAGGTTCCCCAACTATTTCCTCCACCAGAGTTTGTCTACTAGAACCCCTCCTAAGACAATCCCCTACTGTAGGTTCCCCACCGATATCCTCCAGCAGAGCTTGTCCCAAGCCAACCCTCCCCCCAAAAGGGACCCTATCCCACGTAAGGTCCTTGCACCCCCCAAAGCAGAGCCTAAGGAAACCAACACATATGAGCAATCTAACCACAAACCCCTACCTGCATCCCCATTAGACCGCTAACTGTATCAGACAAACCCCTCATAGGCCAAGATGTTACATACAACACCATGAGCAACCCTTGGGTGGTGCGCACGCAATGTCTGTAATAGCTTACCATGCATTAGCCCAAGGGGTGTGTGTCCAACCGTAAGTCATTCTAACGCCCTGTCGGTGTCCATGCGTGAGGCTGCGGATTTGACCCCCGCAACCCCAGACCTCAATGCGCATTTCCAACCGGTGCTCTAACCACTGAGCTACATCACTTCTTTCCAATGTGTTCTTTCTGAATGGCAAGCCAGTACTCCCACCAGAGCAATCTTCTCTAGCCTGCCAAGGAGGCATGAGCGATAGGACTTGTTCTCTAATCAGATCTGATCAGGCCCTCTACCTTGATCTCCGGCGGAGTCCGACCCATCCTTGGTGTGTCATCGGACGTGGCAATCTCTGGCTCTGGAAATCCAAAGTCCCATTCCCTTAAGGTTGTTGCTGGAAACTTCCCTGCAGATTCGTGAAAGGTTCCACGATAAGTCCCCTGTCGTGTGCTCGGGAAGCTGACAAACTTGACCCCTGACAATTGGGGGTTTGTCTCGGCAGTTCACTGACTGGGCTGTAGCCGGATGCCTTGTTAACTAGAGTGTATTAAAGTCTGTCTGTGAGTCATCTGTGATGTCAATCCATGTGAGCGATTCTCCCCTTCTCCGACACCTAAATTTTCTCTTGCTGCTTGTTCCTGAACTTCTAGGTATTCATGACATTTTGCCCTATAGCCTCGTTTTTTTCCGTTAACTCTACGCCCTTCCTCAGTTTGGCGGCGAGGATAATTGTCCTCCTTGTGATAGTATCACCTGCACCTCCGACACCAATTGGTGTAGGGAGATATTATATTCACTTTCCAGCGCTTTCTCTGAGGAAACTCGATTACTAAATCGTCATTTATTATAAACTTCACTCTGATGGCGTGTCAAACTTTATGTTCGCTAGTTTCGGTCTGTCTTTATCGTATTCTGGATTGTGCATTGTTATGATTTTTTCAAAGATGCTCATAACTGCACTTCTCAAATAGTAGTAGGTCTC